GTTCGATTCAGCTGCAACTGACGCGGTCACCGGGTCTTCTTCTGTGCTCGGCAGTTTTACGACCATTCGAGAGAGCGCATCGGCGTAGCTGAAATCTGCCATGGGCACATGAACTATGGTAAACTTATATACGAACATCAATGTCCCCCAAGATTGGAAATGATTCGCTGTGTATGCAGGTATGCACTCCTTTGAACCTAAAATGCCTAATAACAGTTTATTATCAATCTCCAACACGAATTCTTTGCCTTGCAGCATGCGTTAACAGCAAACTTTAAGGTTAATATCACTTTCTTGTTTTGTGAGTAGTTTCTTCCAGACTTCGTTAACACCCGTGACGCGTGCGTAACCGGTCTTGTGCTATTAGCATCGAATCGCTGGCGGAGCACCGCTCCAACGCTCCAACATTGTTCACTATGGTCCTCCGTGCCTCACCTCTCCCCTCGCCTCAAACGGGTATCTCCTTTTCTCGCGTAAACCTTCTTTGTGAAACCGTTTTGTCGTTTTTTCACAGCGTGTATGATCACGCTTCTACTCACTTCAGATTTGACCTCCTGTTCCGGACATGTTCAGTACCGCATCTGCGTTTGTCTTGACTCCAGAACTGTGCTGACTTCGCCTTCCTTCTTTGTCTCAGGTTTTTGTGGTCTGGACCAGTTCGCGAATCAGCACTTGCTTCCACACGTATCATTGTCCAAGGTTAGCACGCGCAGATGCATCGCGTACCTGGACGGGCGGATAACTGAGGTCTGTGTATTAAGGCCTCAACTACTGCATGTTTGAGTTTGCTCAAACAAGTGTCTCCTATCTTGCCTGGTCCTAGCTTCAGTGTAACCAACTTTTGCTACCCCTTCTCCAATGCGCGATTGCTTTGTGCAGCATGTTGGTCTAGGTTAAATATCCATGCTAGCATGTCCGAATGCTCTTAGCTGACAGCGGTTGATCACTCGTTGCGTCTTGGATGCATTTTTACGCTGTCTTACTGATGAAGGTGATTGCATTGGAATTGCAACCAATTGAGGAATGGTATAGTTGCACAACTGGTGCTTTCAAGTCAAGTCAAAAGAGACTTTATACACCTGGGTAGATACATTATTATTCTTTTACACCATTATTGCGATCAGCCCACTCCTATTTATTTCGCCCACACTACTCGTTCTTTACACTCGGTATTGCTGCCACACTAATCTAATGGCGTTTTATGCACTAGCTTGCGTGTTCCATCTCGTTGTTTTTGCTATAACTTATTATCCTCTCATTTTTCGTATCCTGTTGGGCATATTCTTTCACTGTACTTCACAACATGTTTCATCCTTGTTTGGACTCACCGAATTGAAATAGCCGGAGCAGGCTTGACGACTAACGCTAAGATCACTAGGCCATTAGCGCTGCGAGCAGCGTTTGAAATAGGGGTTTGTTGATTGTTGGGTTTGGGATGCCCGTGGTGTTTCTGGATTGCAAAAAAGCAATCTCAATTACGGATCCGGTTTATTTTGAAACAAACTTATGCTATTAAGATCACGGAGACCTTATCAGTGGTACAGAGGTCCCGATGTTCTCTCTCGCAACACTGACACCCCACAACCGATGGTTTCGTCCTCCTTCGGACTCATCATGTAGTGATAAACCGGAACCGGGGTATCGTTTTTCAGTGGTCATCGGAATGACAGAGGATGGCTACATACATAACCTGAATTCAGATTATTTCGTATCTTCTCATTCAGCCGCTTTATGCAGCCATTTCCACTCAGAAATTCTAAAAGATCATCACAAAGGCTGAAAAATCAAAGTTTATCGCGAAGGCACGTTTTGGTTCGTTGCAACAGCTACGCCGAAATGAGAACGTTGTATTGCTGAAACCTGACAAGGGCTCTGGAGTTGTCCTCATGAGTAAAAACGATTATATTCAAAAGATGCAATCGTTGCTCACGAATGAAGGTGGATTCATTAGTGATCTCCCAGGGAAAAGCAGAACGGATAAAGTACAAAGGTTGTGCATGAGCTACAAACTCTACACAATGAGGGACTAATCGACGCAGAAACTATGGCGGAACTCCGCCCCCGAAGCTCAAGGCTTTCTCATATGTATGGATTGCCAAAAATACACCAAGAAGGGGTTCCACTGCATCCTATTCTTTCAGTGGTTGCGGCGCCGCATCAGCAGCTGACACGATGCTTGGCAAAGTGACGCGAGCCTGTACGTCCCGGACTAGCGGTACACAGTATAGAAGACACTTTTGAGTTCGTTGCCAAAATTCGATACTTAAGTGTTCAAGATGAGCACATGGTACCATTTGATGTCTGTTCCCTTTTCACGAACGTTCCTTTGGATGAGACCTGGAACATAAATATTCATGCGGACATAGTTGGCCTGCCTGCACATCGACTGAAGACCTTACTCATCATTTGTACGAAAGACGTTCAATTTTGCTTTGCTGGGAATATGTATCATCAAATTGAAGGCGTTACGATGAGTAGCCCTCTCGGACCGATTCTAGCTGACATCTTTATGGGTCATCTGGAGATATCATTGGAGCAACACGCTTTTACACAAGGTATATCGGCGGTACTCTCGTTGTAATTGACACCATCCAGCAAGCAAAAATCCTTTTAGGAATGTTAAACAAATGCAATCCTAATATCAAGTTCACTATGGAAAATGAATCAGATGATTCCTTTCATTTTTTTGACGTTGCGCTTAAAAGAGCAGATACTTCACTGATAAGATCGATTTACCGGAAAGCGAGCTGGACCGGACAATACCTACATTTCAACAGTTACTGTCCAATGAACTATGAATGATCCTTAGTTCGAACTTGTTTCGTCAGAGCACACCGAAAATGCTCTGAAGAGCCAGTCGAGGCTGAGTTACGATACATCGAGTCTAACCTACGCACTAACGGCTATCCGAACAAATTTATTATCAGGTATAGAAATGAGGTTGCTAAGAAAGGAAAGCGAATGGATGTCCCAGTCATCATCATCAGCAGCAGTACATCAGCCATTTGAACTGATGCTTCGCTGCCATACAACCATGAGGACCTATGAAATAAAGAATAAGAGGAAGAGCAGGGGGACTTACCTGAAAACCTTAATGCCCTAAGCAAACATTCCGGGTCAAGGCTCCTACACCTTGTGTAGACAACGCCGTCACAGCTGGCTATCGTGCAAAGATAAGGCGGCATCGGCGAGACAGCTTCCTTGCGGCTTTCACTGCCCTGCGTCATAATCAGCCATTATCCCGCAGACAACTCAGCACCAAACATACTTTAAACAGGCAATCCGATTAGAAGACGGCAGCAGACGCGCCACTGGTGTCTGTTGCGAGCCATGTCCTGTAAAGTCTCGAGCCAAGCACAAGGTGAGTCACGTGGACTCCAGCCGAGAAGGCGAGACAGACCAACGGCACCCAGTATGGTCGTCAGTGACTTCATTTCCCGCTGCCAAGTCAACTTCTGTCCACCTCGAGCCTTGCGCCACCCTACACCTGGCAGACTAAACAAGGCCCTCCTAGGTAAGCGATGACCATGCATACGTAGCACGTGCCCGAGCGAACGCAAGTTATTCAGTGCTATCTGTTGTTCTAGGGAGCTAGCATGATTATCACCATCTAGTACTCGCCTACGCACATCATCGTGGCGGACACGCTGGTGCCATCCGACACCAGCAATGCTTCGCAGACAACGATGATCAAAGACTTGAAGGTGCTTCAGATCTTCAGACCGAAGGGGCCAAGTCTCACTACCATAGAGCAGAACGGCCCTCACTGTGGCCTTGTGTAGACGGCTTTTCAGACGGAGGGAAACTTCATTCTGTCGCCAAAGATGCCGCAGGTTCAAGAAGGTAGCTCTGACTTTTGCAATGCGTGAGTTGACGTCAGTTTCTATGCGCTCATCATTGCTGATGCAGCTGCCAAGATAAGTGAAATGATCAACCACCTGTCTAGGTCTGGGCGCCCTGACAGGATCTCAGCCCACATACAACCATGACATCATGGATGTCCCAAAGGAAAAGGTCTTCATCACGCTACCATACAAAGGGGAACAGAACGACAGAAGATTGTGCCACCGATTACGCCGAGCCATAAAAACGTGCTACTGCGCAGCTGAGCTCGTGTTGTTACATCAAACCAAGAAGCTCTTCCGTGAATCTAATTTGGATAAGCCTCACTCTCAGGTTACCGCCTCATGTGTTTATCAGTTTACTTATACTTGCAGCAGCACCTACATTTGCCGCTTCGAGAGAGGGCTATCAACTAGGATCATGGAACAAGTTCCACGGAACCTGGCAAATAGTGGCCCTAAACTTCCTGCCAGCTCAGTCGCTCAGCATCTGTTCGATTGTACCTTTGCGAAAACCCACATGACGCATTCATGGTTATCAGCAGACAGGACAACACGAGCTTGCCTCGTTTCGCTGAGGCCTTTGCCATGCGGCGAATGAAACCAAACCGTTGCAAACAGGTTGACCTTGTGGCCAGTCTTGCCTTGCTCTTGTAAGCAGTAAGCAATGACATTGCTTTTCTCAGTGCTTTATTGATTTCCTTACGACACCCTTTTCGGTTGCATTCCTTTACTCTTTCCACGATTTGTCTGTAAGCGGCTGAATGAGAAAACACGAAATAATCTGAATTCAGCTTATCCCGCAAAATGTTGTTCGTTCTTGCCTACATAACCGTTGTCGCATTTGAGTCGGATTGTCTCATTCCCCATGCTCACGGTGAGCACTCTAAAACCCATCAGTCCTGCCCGGTGAATAACTTTCGAAGATTCTACTGCCGCACTTATTCTAGCAGTTGCATCCGCACCCCATAAATCTTTTGAGGATTTCACTTGGTTCCTATATTATTCCTTCTGGCTTCGTATCGCACGAGTTTTGTTTTCCTACTTTGGGCTGGTTTTCAAGTGGAATCACGAATTTCGTCGTTTTATTTCTTATGCAACTATATGACGCACAATTTGGCCATTAGTATTCCTGATTTTACTGGCGTTCTTTTCCAGAAATTATTATTATCCAGGAGCTCTGCTGTTTTCGGATGACTTTGACAGGATTATGGTTCTTGCCCGTCACCTGGGCCGAATCGATTTCAAGTATGTCAACTTTTTTATCATATACTTGTTTCAGCCTGGATCTGAGGGACAGGCACATGAATTCCGAGGTGTTGCGACCAATAAACTATGCTGCCTACCTGCATCGTTGTAGTACGTAAGTATTTGGTTTGCTTCTTGCTCGCGAGCGCATCCCATCTCCACTAGAGTTTACCACCACTATCCTGTTCCGGTATCTTGGGCCTAATGGTGATGTCACACCAGCTATCCCCAGACGCTTCGCACGGAGGACTCCGAGGATACATTAGAAACCTCGATTTCTCTAACCTGTTACAGTACACCTAAAGTTGCTTATATAGTGACTTGCAAATTTCCTATCGCGCTCCGATTTATGGCTTACATCGTTTATAGGACACATTTTGTCAATCTATGCACTTGTTTGGTACACCGAGCTGTTGACGATATTCATTCCGATGCGCAGCTGTTCACCTGGATCCACTTTTCAGCGCTTCTCTCTGATTCAGAGATCACCAAACGTTTTTACGGCTGACCGGATAACCAATAGAATGATGATCGCGGGCCGGATTAAATTTCCGCATAATGCTCGCAAGCCGAAATACAAGCTCTGAACAAAAATGAATACATTATGCTCAGCATTCCATGTTAAACATAGAAACATGAGCAAACACACAACGTATATTTCAAAATGACCCTCAAAACAACATATTTATTAGCTAAAATTATCAACGGAGACGATGTACTCCAAATGACAGTTGCCTCAGACGTTTCGTGCAAACATCCGGATGGCACTAACTAATCTGCAAAAAGATTCGTGAGATTGGTGAAACTAAAGTATGGCTCTCAAAATATTATAAATGTTTGGTTTAGCATGGCTGCACCGAATCAATGTTCATCAGTTCGTCACGTTCGATGAACTGACTACACATACTTCATTTTTTGAGACAGACATAAACTGTTCCAAACACTGATGCCATACCGACGGCAAACATCTTCAGTTCAGGGCATTCAACATCAAGTAAGCAGCCGTAAATCCAATAAGTTTTTCTCACCTCTGCTTCTGTTTCAACAAGTCTACCTACAAATCCATTAGCTTCAACTGTACTTCGAGTGGAGCTTCCTCAATGTTATAATCAGATGGGTTCTGGAACTGAAGAATTCTGCTCTCTGTTATGTCGAGATTTGACCATCTCTCTAGAAATTGCTTTTTTAAGTCCCGAATAATTGTTCTCGGAAAACTAAGCTAAAAATCTTCGGTGACTGTAGCGTTAAACTCTTTGAAACAGTGAAACGAGCAAACTTGTCTCTTTCAACTTGTGATTCGGACAATTACAGCTTCCCCCGAAATTCTTTGATTCTTCTGTAGAAATCACCGTTGAGGAGCTTCTTTCCTTGTAGTTTCAAGCCTAGTACATTCATGTGGGATGTGACCTCAGCCGTAGATGCCAACTTTGATAGCCGGTTAGGATCTGACAGCTGTAGTCAGATCTCTCTTTTTATTGAGGAAGACAGTTATTTCGTTTTGGGGCTTGTAAAAGCAAGACATCACCTTACCCCAACTGAGCCACCTAACTTACGTGTGATAGAAAAATCACAGCATTCAGAATCAATATCTAGAACTAGAAGACTAGAACTGACGGTACTTGAGAGCATGTCACCGAATGAAGTCAACAATTGAAACGGCCGGTTTCAGTACACAATAAATCTTCAACTTTTTCCCACAGATTGTGTGTTCGTGTACAGTCAAACCTGGCTAAGGTGACCACTCAAGGGACCGACAAAAAGTAGTCGCCTTGGACAGGTGGTCGCCATGGGCAGCTTCATTGCTCACAAGAGAAAACCTTAGGATGTTTTTGGCTGGTCACCATAACAGGTTTGCAAATCTTTTAACTGAGTCCTGATCTGCCTTACCAAACCCTTACTCCGAGGCCGACTCTACGGATGCTTGTAGCCCTGCACATTTTTGTGCCATTTCACGAAAATGTCGTTTGCAGTTGGGGTTCCATATAAATTGCAGACCGGTGCCAACTCTTCCGCTTTCTGGAACTTCGATTTCAGACCGCAAATGAACACGAGAAGTTATGACTTACCCAAGAGATAAGTGAACTCATCCAGCGCCAGAGAATACGACAAAATGGTTTTAACTTTCTCGTGTATCTGTAACATTATGTTCTGTCCAAGTGCTTTTGTTCTCCACACAATTGAACTTGCCGAAAGATTGATGATTGCAAACAAATCCGCTTTCTCAGGACACAAATCACTCACACAATCCATCATACACTTTGATTAAGTTGCCATCAGTAAACGGTTTTCCTCCTTCCGCCATCTTTTACACCATTTTGTAACTAGTAGGAGTGACTTTCTTGTGAATTCTTTGCGTTTCTAAATCACTTTTCATGGGCTCATATTTCTCCGGGCGTTGCTTTCCCAAAAACGAAATGTGCTGGTAATTTATTTCGTAATGACGCCGAAGATTGTACTCCTTCAAAACGGCGACGCTTTCGTCACGTATTGCGTAACTGGTTTTCTGGTCCATGGTTTTCACGACGAATTATTTTACTCTTCATTCTTGGTAAAAACGCGACACTCTGTGTCCATTCTCCGCTTATTAATAGCCATAGGATTTCGACACTAAACGGGAACTGATATAAAAGGCACTGAATTGGAAACATTTAAGCTTCTACTGGAACACGAACAATGCAAATAACTAAGGGTATCCGGTGAGACTACGGCTCACCTAAGGTGTACATGTGATTGAATGCCAAAGCATAAATAGAACTGGTAGTATTGACACACTTAGTGCCAATTCTCAAACAGACACTAATGATTATAGTTCATGGGTGCATGACTCACGAATGATTGGTTGACTGGTGACCCTATCTGACTGGATCTTTGCAGACGCTTGCATCGACGGACATGCACCATTTGGGTTGTGCTTGCATATACCACAGAAGCAGCAGCAATCGATGTTCTCTGTCGGTCTCATAACGGGCTTAATATCACCATTTGTACGCCCGTCTGCACAATAATCACTCAGCTCGGAGAGCAGCTTAAAATTCGCATCCACACCTCGAGCTACGGATATTCTCATTTATTTCAAATACTATGATATCTGGACTGGTAGCACTGCGTAGTAGCGTGCTCAATTCGTGGTAGAATGTGTCACTGGCGTCATCAGAACTGTATTCTGTTGTAGCATAAGCGGAAACCACAAACTTCCTGAATCAACCTTAGCTGATGTCGTCAAACGGGCTGCACATAAACGGCTGTTCACCGGAATCTAATCAACCAACGATGATTTAACCTTGGAGCTGAGAACAATGCCCACCCCAACTTGACCAGTGATTGCCACATCAGTGTCTCCGAATGCGTGCAAGCAATAGCGAGAGGACAAGTCGGGTGCATTTAACGGAACAACCCCATGAGGGTCATCGATTCTAGTTTGTGATACGCAACACATGTCAATATCCAGGGTATCCAATGTGCATGTGAACGCAGCCTGTTGACCTATTTGTTTTAGAGGGCGAACGTTGAACACCGCCAGGGAAACGGGACAGCGTGGTCTTATAAGGGGCTGTCGCCGATAGGTGTCAAGTGGGTGTTGTATGAAGGTGGCTGCAGGGTTAGATTCCAGTGACACTGTGGCTGCTGTCAATTAAGATGGGAATTATAGAAAAAAGGTTAATAATGGGGGTTAGGATGGAAGTAATGGAAACAGGCGGAAAAGAAAGAAGGGAGGCGCCAACAGTAGCATGTTTTCGCCTATCCGCCCTGCTGTAGACAGCAGATAAGTCGACTCTTGTTAATCTGTGCGACGGTCAACGCAGGATGTCGTTGAAGTTTTACGAAAGAGTCATGGTTGTATGCGGGCTGAGATACTGGGAGGAAGCCCAGAGCTAGACAGGAGGACAATTAGGGTCCTCGAGCAAAGCCTTTGGCTCAAAAGCCTGTTCGCAAGACAGCGGGGAGGTGGCAATGATTTAGTTTTATAGGAATGGACGCCACCGGATTTCAAACCCCCAACGTGGATGACCAGGAGACTGAGTTTGTTTGATCTCTAACCAGTGACCAACCTGGTAGGTGTAGCTCTCAAGAGACCTGGAGGAATCATTCCCTATAGCTTAATGAGTCAAAGAAATACGCAAACTGTCGCATCACGTTGAGTCTCGTTGCGACAGATTTCCAAACCTAAGGATAAGGTCAATCAAGGCAATGAAAGCAATGTTCTCTACCAGATAAAATGCAGCGGACATGACAACGTCTTTGTTGGACAAACTGGAGATAGCTTTTTACACCAATCATCGAGCACAAAGACATGGTCCAAATTCCTTGGTTTTCGCACATGAAGCTCAAGTAGGCCACCACCTCGATCTAGAAAATGTGAAGCTTCGGGCGCGTGGAAGTACGAAGCATGCGAGGGAATCTATCTAATCATGGCATTCCACAGCTAATTCAAGTAACCGACACATTGAATTGGACTCAACATACACCACACTACGGTCGAAGGATCGCCAGTCCAATCGATTAAATCCGGTGGATCAGAACACAACAAGCGGGATAATCGACAGACCTGAGCACAAGAGTAACCAGGCAAGTTCCAGTCACTTGCCCGTTCAACAAGTAAAACACGGACAGATGCTCCAGCAAATAGGATTGCTCGGCTACGCGACCAAACACGGTAACATATAAAGACGCACGCGCACTGTAGCGGACGCACGCTCATCGAGGCTTCCCTACCCTACACTACCTACTACGCACTACTCAACAATGCACTGATGATGTCACCTCAATTGCGGACGAAACGCCTGCAACAGAATTGCCAAGCTCATCGAACAGTTCGACGGACACCAATTTTGGTAGATGTTGTTAAGATTATACGGTGACACGAGATGCACCCACACGATCCGCTTCTTTATGCCCTCGCAACGTGTGGGCGACTGTACAGTGCGGAATCGAGTAAACGAATGGAGCATTATTGATCAACTGGTGATTCGGATGATAACCAATAAACAAAAATGAACCAGTTTTCGCCAGGTCACAAATATTCCCTACCGGATAACGCCCTCCGAGAAATCCTGAAGCGCCTAACGGAAAGCCGTTTCACTGCTTCGGATTCCTTAAAGCTAACTACCATGGTGAACAAGTTGCGATGTTTCAAACAAACTGCCCGATCTTAGAGAAGCAGCTAATTGTGTTTTATGACGCTAATGAAGGGATAACGCGTCGTACTATAAACAACAAACCAAAGTAGGATGGCGGTCAGTCTAAGTAAACAATAAGATATAAAGAAGATACCACTTAAGCCAGAAATGGTGATGGACGCAGGTCATTTGATTGAATGCAGCTCTCCAACGGACAATGCAGAGTAGGGAAACGATCCCCACAGTCGATTGGGATAAAAAGCAGACTTAGGGTACATAAGATAAGCTACTTAAATGAAGCACAAGAAATCGAATAAAATGGAAGAAAAGAAACTCAATGCAACGCATCATAGTCTTTACAGGGGGGTATTAATCGCAAGTAGGTGGTCTGGACTCCTCAGAAGATCAGCGAAGTGGTAATTCTGGGCTTAACTCCGATCGTACGAACAACGGTGAGCGTCTGCTGCAACTGTTTGCGGAGCATCAGTTGTTTCTTAGTAGCACTGCTTTTAGACACAGTGGACACCAAAGTGCTACTTAGCTTCCTCTCGCTATCCAACGATAAGCCCAAATAGTTCGCATTGCCACAAGTTACAGGTGGTGTACAACCATCCTGGATTGCCGCTGGTACTAGAATACCTGCGTCGACTCTAATCATGCCTTAGTACGCCGTCGTTTCTCTGAACTTTACTGGGAGGCGCACCAAGAATCTCCCCCGATTGGCAACGGAGAATTTGTCTCAGCCCTCAGTCAGACAAGCCTATCAAGACGTACTGCATACTGAACTTGCGATCTCTTGTCCTATTGACACTGATCTTCAATAGAATATGATCTGGACTGCCATGCACGACGCAGGAGCATCTGCTTCTGGTACCGCCAATCGTCACCGCACCAGTCACTGGATATCCGAGAGGTCGGTGAAGGGACTGATCCCTTTTGTGGCAGTTGCCCGTTAATTTAGCGAAATGTTCAGTTTTACGCGTTGGTGCGAATGACCCGCCGACGCGTTATTTGCTTAGCATCAATGAGGTACCGCGAGTTCAACTCCAATCTGACCTTGGAGTTTTACTGTCATCAGACTGTAAGTCCAGTGAACACTGGACGGCAGCTGCTCACAAAGGTTTCAACATGTTGTGGATGATCCGCAGGTCATTCGGGATCATGATCACCGAAATGTTCGTTGGACTATTTTCGGCTTTTGTAAGGCTGCACTTGGAATACTGCATTCAGGTTTGTCCTCTATGCCTGGTTCGTGATAAGATGGCAGTTGAACGAGTCCTTCCGTCCGGGACGAAAATGGTGCACGGAGTAAAGACGCTGATGTACCCGGAGAGGCTGCGTAAGTTGGATATGTTTTTCATGCATTCCAGGCGGCTTCGGGATGACTTGGTCCTCACGTATCGTATACTGATGGGTCAAATTGGTCCCAATTTGACTGGACTGTTTCGCCCAACTCGAGCTCCAGCCCTACATGGCCACCCATTAAAGGTGCACAAACCCCGGTCTGATCGGGTTTAGACAGCTTTTCGGTTATCGCGTATTGTCATAGCTTATTGGAACTCACTACTTGCAGACGTCGTGATGGCACCGGCAGTGAAAGAGTTCGAGCATCGACTTGACGCTCTCGGTCCGCAGTTTAAAGTCTTCCCCTTCATGTCTTAAACTTTTCTTCGTCTACTACGGCCTACGCTTCCTTAACTCATTTTAACTTACATTTTAATATTGCCCACGAAATTCGATAAACTTGTCTTCTCCTTTGTTTCCTTTCGTTTTCTTTTATTCTTCACGTGGCCGGCACAACGGGGACTGCTAATGCAGTACACGTGGGCATTGCTTACTTGATCATGTGTTGATTTGGCTCTTTGACGCATCCGAGGTCCGCATTCCCTGCTAAATAATGGACATTTTCCAAGTTCGAACATTCGCGGATTTTCCTACTGTTCCGGTCCCACTTGAACTCGAACTTCGGCCGTGATTTCTTCTGTACATAATTTGCAACCCTCAACGACCCCGTGATTTATTGATTTGTTCCTGTTGGAATTAAGCGTTCTCATCAATACACAGCCCAAGCCGGCACATTTAACACCTTGTCCTCATCATGTGATGTTTGAGTCTGATGAGAATTACCGATAACTATTCTATACTCAGAATCTGCCTCCCTTGATTCCTGCTTTGTCGGAGGTGGAGGAAATGATATTCAATCGTTGCTTCTGTGGAAAACTTGACGTACATCCGTTTTTCTTTTATTCTTCCACTTCACAGGAAGTGTACTGATGACCGTGATGGACCACGCGAATTGCCAGTTTCCATTTCTCCGTCATATTCCCCTTTTTTGGAACTGCGTAACACTTACTTCACGCTGTTGAAGGACTATGTGAGTAGACAAAACAAGTGCTCGTCTTTCCATGTGCGTTTTGTCGCTCACTTCAAAATTAACCGTTCATTTACGCTTACCACGGTCGTACATTCCACGTTAATATTCCACGTGGTTAAATCCCAACCGGTTCTCACGGAGCTTAACTCACCATCAGTTGGTCCCGTTATACTGCTGTCTACAAAAAATGTTTCCTAACGGTGTGCTTAACTGCGTGGAAACCGCTCGCCTGCTCGCATCACTTGATGTAGCCATAATGTTGTTGGCCTCTTGCCTACTGCAACGGCGGAAGGTATAGAAAGCAATTCGAGTTTTCAACTGAATGCACAGTTTACGCAGTAGCGTGATTTGTACTCTCAAACCGTGATTCTAACTGATTTTATCCGAGCACATATGAGTATGATCCGCGAGTCCTGGCCGTAGGGCCTCCACCGACTTTGTGAGACCGGTATGCAGCAGCAAGGTTTAGTGTATGTTACGCCATTAAACGAGATACATTTTGGGGGTACTCAGCTAATAGTTTAGCATCGTTAGTCTAAAACTAAGAGCTTGTAATAGACAAACGTTGAGTATTGTCAACTGGCTGCTAAAAGATTGGAATGGGTGAGGTTACGAATAACTGAAGTTGAGTGTTTTAGAGAGTTCATTTTGTAGCACACGTGGGAATGGATGGCGACTGGCATTCTCAATGTGGACGGCGATTCACTTTGTAGTGAATTTGGGTCCAATTGCACCACAGCTAAAGCAGCCGAACACTTGCTCGTTGGCACCATGGCACTCCACAACCAGGTTTGTGCTCATCAAGCAGATAGCAGGATTGAGACTCGAACTCAGGTCTTTAGGGCTGTCAGTGGCAACTCCCAAGCCGCCCTATATTGGCGGACATCGCTCGTCACATTGTATGTTGACCTGCTGGCGTCGTCGTTTTTAGGCATGCGCTATTTGGTTGGTGTGCGACATGCAATCTTGGATGTTACGACTAGCCAAGACATTTTTACTTGCGTCTCACTACACATAAATCATCAGTAGTATAGCGTAATTTGCTATTCATGGACACCACTTTAAGGCAATCCCGCTTCTCACTTTCGTGAATATCCCCGGACTCTGTTTACCGGAAAGTATGAACTAATTTCCGATAGGTACTACTCTAGTCCATTATGCGAATTTCCTCGCTTTGTGCTTACATTGTAGGGTACAGTTCCTGCGAGGTTAGGACCATGATTCAATCTTACCTGCCTATATCTTTAATTAATCCTAACTGATGACACGGACCCAACGAAATACCCTACAAGAGCAACCGACTGTTCTTGAGCCAGCCAAACTTCGGCACGCATTGTCAATCCACTAACACCATACGTTAGCATGATTGGTTTAAGTAGATTTGGTTTGAAAGACATTCTTGAATACTTCAAGATAATATTGAATCGATCCGGTTTCTCTTTGGAAGCGATGCGCACCATATATTGGCAGTAATAAATTTAAAGTCGAAGCTGGCCAGGACCTGCATAGTTTATTATCCTTTCTGACTTTTGGATTTTTCCTCATCATTGTTTTCAGCTTTCCTCCTAGTTATTTAGATAACTTCGCCGTGGTTACTGCTTGCATATGCTTACGCACCCTTATCATCTGAAGTCCGTTTTAAACCCAGTACTTGTAACAGTTCTGTAGCGCTCTCTATGGGCAGTGTTCCTGTTAACCTCCACACAATGCCGGGTGTTTCCTTTCTTCTACTTTCAATTTTCTTACCGATGGCCCGCACAGATGGTAAACCATCAACAGCTTCTACTTTTATGCAAAAAAAACTGGATCTTGACGTGGTCTGATCGTTTGAGTCCCTCAACGATCCATTAAGCTGTAAATAGGTGGCGTTTTTTGCACCATCAGAATCATTTATCTCACATTGACAGATGACTGGAGACCAAACAAACTCAGTCCCGTTGTCATCCATGTTGTGGGTAGCCGCTTATCCCACAAATTTGCGCTCTATGTAGCCCACCGAAAAAACTCAAATATTTTAAACCGTACTTTGTTTTAGCAGCAGCTGACTTGTTGTTAGTGAAACTGTTGGGACGAGAGGGAAAATTCCATCCATAATCTGTTAAGACGCTTGAAGCTTTCACTTGCATAAAAAGCAATTTAGGCGGTTACAATCACGAACTTTCTTTGCACAGACCTGCTGAATCGCACTTCAAAAGGTTCCGCTCAGCCTACCGGTCGACGTGGCTGATTTTGGACTAAGTATTCCTATTCGTGTTCGCTGAATGCAGTCATCATGACTTCGTCAATGGCTATGTTGCAAAAGAAAGATAACAACGGGCATACCTGTCTCCCACCACTGGTGACATCGAAGGGCTGCGACCACCTACCATAAGCCCGAACTGCGCGTAAGTCTGGATGTTCAAGTTTACGTTTTTCTTTAGTGCCCGTTTCTTAATCAAGCCGTCCATCTAACCGAGGTCACCTTTACTCTCGAGGAACACGACTACTGTGGATGGCCAATACAAATGTTCGTGCTCCAGTGACTGACACAAAGTGAAGATGTGCTCGATGCAGCTTCGATTTCGAAGAAACCCGACTTGATCTCGAATCTGGCTTTCACAGTCGCCAACCAATCTGTGAAAAATGACAAAAGCAAGCAAATTATAAAACCAAGTCAGATTGTTTCCTCTATGATTGTCGCATACCGAACGGGAGCCGCCTTGAAGAGTGACACTACAGTGGGGCAGCTTCTGTCAGTTGAGACAGCTTCTTGCTCCAACGTTTTTATCATTGATCTTCTACGTCGTTCACGAAAGCAGGCCCTTCGGTTGAATACAATTGGAAATAGCCCTTATGTTTCTGCGGCCGCACTCTACTTCAGCAGTCTGATTTCACGTTCGAGTTGATTCCAAATGACTGGCTGGCTATGAAACAGATAATTTTGCTCACCTAAATTGACTTTCGACTTGTTCAGCCCAACGTATCGCTTTGCTACACACGCGCACTGACGACGTCACCTCGTGTACTGACTAAATGTTTGTTGCAAAATTGCCAAGCTCAGTGAACAGTTCGTTTTACAAATGTTCATCCCAACATTCTACACGTTTCAACAACTTCTGGGTAGACTGACCTCGCTTGTCTCATTTGGTCTCACTAACCCCAGATCTCCTACTACCCGTTTCCTGTGTCGGATGCAATCACTACCGATGATTACCAAGAGAAGCACCTGTTTCCATCTCCGATACACGAAGAGACCACTAGACTTCACGGTCTCTTTTTAGGTTTACGTGCAATATTCCCTCAGCTCTTTACGAGCCTCGTTGTGTTCAGTCCTAGCCGGAGTGCGCCGGCGAGCATCCACAGACTGCGTAGGGACCCAGTGTCGAGGTTGGCAATCAGATATACTATATGAAACATCTATTACTGATAAGTTCTGGTGCACATACGACCGGTAACCATCAACTGTGTTCAGCGAGCGCGTACAACCTGAATACGCATTCAGGATATCTGACTTCGCCGTCTTGATCTGCAACGAAGCTGCGTCATCTCCAAGCAAAGGCATTGAGCAAGTACCACCAGTATTACATGAAAGTGATCGTATGGTTGGCACGGTGCTGGAATCTTGCAGGCGGGATTCCGATAAACGGCAGATATTGATTAATAGAGCCTCTAGTGTTCGTGCATTTGCTGTCTGGATAGCATTTTATACAGTGCTTATGTCGAGACGTGGGCCTTAGCGCGGATTCGGGGCTTTAAATAAAAACGGACAGTATCAGAAATCATTTCAGGGTAAAGAATTCTTTTCGGTAAATCTCATCAGACCCAAACTTTTACATAACAGTGATTGTGGATATAGCGTCAACTGGGGCTGGGATTGACTTCTTGACAGGCCGACTTTTATCTGCTTGCTTGAATATGGATTTGTAGACAGGACAATCGCTTCTGAGTCGAAACTAGAACACAGACGACTATCAATGCAAGGTGGGAATGGCCAAAAATTATGGGTTTTAGTGGGGGAGGATCACAGTTAACTTGAAACGCGACGATGACATTGAAAAACGCCATGGTTCAAAAATATCACCACACGGTAGCGGGATTTTGACGCTGTCCAGGTGGCTGAGTTGGTCTGGTGTCTAACTATTGATCAATTTTATAGGAGTGACTCTGAGGGTACCAGGAGCACCACCCAGCACAGCTAGACGGAACAGTGAGGCACGCAAACCATCGTGCCACGTAAGGTGCAGCCTCATTTCGATGGATCCTTTTTCGTCGCGCAACACCAGTCTCAGTTTCTTTACGGATGACTACGTTGCACTTTACATCGGCATCTCACCTGTCGAGTTAAGTACTGCTAAAATGTTTCGCCATTGTTGACTGGTCGTTTAATTGTCACGGAATTCTAATACTACTTTCTCCTGCATGCTATTCGTCTGCAGGATGACCTTCTTGTTGTTCTCTTGCTAATGATTTTAAGTTTCCGTTTACTAATCTACCTCACTTTTTCTTAGAGAGCGAAGTCCATAGCCTTATCTTTTATTGTCCTTCATTTTTTCTGATCGTACAATTGTATACTTTTAAAGGGAGCTCTGGAAGACAAACTGGCCTTACAAGCTTCGAGATTGAAGCGCTACGAGGCAGAGCTGTCTAAACTGCGACGTCTACGTCAGGAGTTGGAAAGTCAAATACTTGAACTACAGATACAAGTGTAGGTCCACACATCAACATCATTTGCTTACCTGCGACTTTCTCCTTTGAAAACTACCTGTTGCTAAACTCTTACGTTGTAGTTATGCATTATGTTTGTCGTCATCATGACTGCGTTTGTCAGGGCACAAGACACACTAGCCACTCAAGTTAGTTGACCTGCTTTTGATGTCATAGATTCTGGCGGCACTTGTGTCTACTTTCTTTTTCGACAGTTCTCCGATGGGTGTTGCCAATGTTTGAGCTGTCACCGAACGTTGTACTTGCGCTTATTTTTTAACTTTTGGTCTTATATTTGGCTATATCGCACAGAATCAGTCAAGCCAAACTAAGCATTATGCACCTGGGTAGATACATTTTCCGCATTTTACACTATCACTACCAATAAGAAAATAAATGCAAGAAATGGATAAAAGCAAATAATCCCTGGAGATTTCGCGGTACTCCTACTCCTCCCAACATTGACACCCCAAAATGTGTTAGTGTCATCACCATCAATACACGTTAGCCGAGGTTGGGAAAACACGCCTCAGCTAATGTGCCACAATACAGAAAAGAAAAGGGATTAAACATTACAGACTGCAAAAGCTAACAAAAGCTTATCCTAATGCTAAAATTCTTCCAATGCATTGGGTTGAGATGGTTCTTGGATTGGGAAACTAAAGGTGTTGGGAGGGACAAAGAGACTCACAACACAAACGCCATTGAGGTCGGCTCCTCACCATTTTAGGTTGTGTATTTAGCCAGTCTTCATCATCCTTTAGACCCCAGCCCGGCAGTCGCGACACCAACCGACGCCAAGTTCAAAGTGAGGGACTTCATTCCTCTTGACCAAATCATCGCTTGGTCTCCCCTCCTCTTCGTCAATCCACATCCCCGGTGCGCAAATCACTCACCTCACGGGAGTCGGTGGGTTGCCCTGCGCAACACATTGCCCAGCCATCAGAGCTTGGTGCGTGATATAAAGGTGCTGAGCAGTTCACTCGTTCTTCCTTTACCAAATATGCGACGCCGAACACGTTCGTTACTCATGCGTTGTTCCCACCAAACATGATCTAAACTGCGATGGTCGAACGTGACTAGGCTCCTTATGCCTGTCGACTTGATGGGCCAGGTTTCGCAACCATACACGTTTGTACGCACAGCTGCATTGTAAACTCTGCCCTTTAGAGCGATAGTAATGTCGTGCCGCCGCCTCATGTGGCGGAGATTAGCAAAAGGGCATCGAGCTTTTGCTATAAGGTTCTTGATCTGATCTTTAATCCCAAGCACGCTAATATAGCTGCCGAGATACTTGAATTTCTTGATGACGTCTAGCTGATTATCGTCATGAATCAGCGCTGGGGTGGGTCTCTGTCAATCTCAAAGAAGGACTTTGCATTTCCAAAATGCAAAACACAGCCTGAAACCACTCACAGCCATAGCTGATGTATTCAGTGCAATTTAGCACGTTTTTGCGCTGTCACAGATGAGTGCAATGTCTTTGGCATACTCCAAGTCACCTGGGAGCAGCTCCAAATCTTCTAAGTGGTGCGCGACGAGCGCCGTTTCCATGATTTCGTCGATGGCGAAGTTGAAGAGGACAGGTGACAGCAGACAACCTTGTTTCACACCACTGAAGGTATTTATGGGCAGCAACATTTTGCCGTAAACCCGCACCCTGCCCGAACTACAAGCGTACAGTGCCCTGATAATGTTTACATATTTCTTGGGCACACCTTTCCTGAGTACACAGTGGCAAAGGGCACATCGATCAACCGAGTCACAGGCCTCTTTGTTGTCTGGGAACACGATTATGGTGGGTCGTCAATAGACATGGTGGTGCTTTAGCAATTGACCTAATGTGAATATGTGGTCGATTTCGACGAAACCCGGCTTGCATCTCGCGCATCTGGCTTTCTCGAGTGCCAGTCAATCTGTGGAGGACGACAGATGCAAGTAACTTAGAGGCAATTGAGATCACGCCGATTCCTCTGTGACTGTCACATTCAGAATGTGAACCTCCCTGTAATATTTTAACTATGACGGATCTGCTCCGGTCTGTTGGGACAATCTCCTGCTCCAATTGATTCACCAGTAGCTTATGTGAACCTTACAAAAGAGCGGAGGGCTGAATAAAATCCACCTGCTCCAGCGGGCTTATCAATTTTCAGCCGTCTGGTCTCACTTTCGATTTCTGCACGTGAAGGCTCGTCCAGGGAGAACGGCGATCATTGGCCATTGCAGAAGCTGACAGCTGTGGCTGATTAAAGTGCTTCTCAAAATGTTCGGCTCCACGCTCCAAACGCTTTGACAAGCTGCGAATCGGTTATCCACTCTCGTCGTTTATGGTCTCGCTAACACCAGGCCACCTGCTGCCCGTTTTTCGTATCAGACGGATTGACTTCCGATGGTTATCAAGGCCAGCGGCCACTTCGATCTCTGATGCATGATGAGACCACCAAGCTTCGCGGTCTATCTTCTGGCTAGCACGAAGTTTTGCTTTGAAATCTTTACAAGTCCCGTTATTTTCATTTTCAGTAGGAACACATCGGCGAGCATCCAAAAGTTCCAGAGACTGCGTACTGACCCATTATTCAGGCTGGCAATTTGATTTACCACATGAAGACAAGCCTGCTGCTAAGAATGTCTGGCGGATATGGGACAAGTGATCTTCAACTGTGTTTAGTGAGCGCTTACTCATCTCGGATGCCATCGTATTTTGATACCCATTCAGAACATCTGGATTTGCCAGTTGGCAAGTATCTATCCGCTCATAGCGTACTTGCGGACGTCCGGCGAAACGCACCAGCAGGTCGGCGCAAACAAATGTTTGGTCAGAGTCCACGCTCGTGCTCCAAATCGATCTACAGTTTTGGACGCAGTCTCTCCAGCCATAATTGATCGCGATGTGATCGATTTGCGTCCATGCTTGGTCCGAGGCTGATGGGAGTCAAGTTACTCTTCTGCGAGTGCTGTGTCGGAGGTTAGTGCTCGCGAGAAAGAGACGAGCATCTTCACACAAGTGTAGCAAACGCTCGTCGTTATCATTAAGGGGACCCACACCATATTGGCCGCCCTCATGAAGATCGTCAGCGTACAGTTTTCCAAATAGGGCGTTCAAATCACCACCAAGCACCACAATATCCGTGCCTTTTTCTAACGAAGGAGCGCGTGCAGTTGGTGATAGAACTCGTCTTTAACAGAGTCAGCACTACAACTTGTGCTTGCGTAGGCCGTCATGACAAACAAGCACCGTCTCTCTGTGCACGACTTCAAGGCTCTGAACAATCTAGCCTATCTGACAGCGCACATCCTGCTGTTCGTTGGGATCCAATCGATCAGGGTAGATTCACCCCGGGGCTTAGGTGCAATACCCACACCGGCTTGACCGGCATTTGAAACCGCTTCATCTCCCGATAAGCGCGATGAGAAAACACCGCGTGTTTCACTTTGGGGATCAGAGGGTAATCACGGAGCTTGCATCTTACATTCGAGTGAAAAGCAGCAGTTATCGATTGATAGGGTGTCCAGTGTTCAGGCAAGTGCTGCATGTCGGCCAGTCTGCAACAAAGTGCTCATCTTGAGGCAAGTCAATTTTGGGGAAGATCAGGATATCCATTTAGCTGGACATGGACTTGTCGACTGGACCGGAGCGACACCCTGCGATTGCCTGTGAGTCGAAACTATAAGATAAACGATTACGGAATCAAGATGGGGACGCCCAACAATTGGGGAGTTACAAACAGGGGGCATAAAAGGGAAGTTGGTATAGGACGATAAGAATGGAAAGTTGTAAGAGAGGGAACAAGAAGAGGGAAAAGCCTGAGCGGTTGCATCCTTACCCCTATCCACCTTGCTCTATGCGACAGATAAGACGCCCTTGTTTGTTCTCTGCGGCGGCCAAAGCATCAATAAATTGTTTAAAGCTAAGGCCATTGTATTGTGTGGGCGGGATACTTTCAATTGCCCAGACCTAGACAGAAGAACGATTTGGATTATCAACCAAAGCCTTCGATTCAAATCCTGATCGCAAGGCAGCTGGGTTGTGGCACTGCTCACTGCTTCTGTTTTAAGGAGTAATGAGCCATCCTCACTCCAACCCCCACCTGGAGGACCAAGACACTGGAGTTTGTTTGGCCTGTAGCCACTGGCCAATCTTGTATGACTGGCTCTGATAGTGCAGAAAGCACCTCCCAGCATAGGTCAATGGGTCGCTGAATCACGCAAACCATCGCACCACGTTAAGGGCCAATGTCGTTACTTTGGACGAAAATGGTGCGATGCGGGCAGAACTTATGTGCATGGTAAGGGGTTAGGTTAGATACCTGGCTTGAATCGATGCTCGAAGCAATGGGCACCTTGAGTTGCAGAGCGAAGTAGCTAAACCTCTCTTAGCGTATTGCTCAAGCAAATGATTGCTCATCGTACTGTTAGCCTCGTTATGTCAACAAGTAATCGTGACAAGTACGGTGGGATGGAATTGTAGTAAGAAGCAGTACGAGCAAATAAGACTAGAGCGTGTAGAAGATGCAGATAGTGCTCTCGATAGAGCACCATGTAGTGGATGAAAAGGGGCGTTTAGAACTTTGAAGGAAAAGCTAGTACAAACGTTTACATGTTTGTTGACGATAAAATCAACACTGACCTCTCTAGACAGTCCAGTGCATCTAGGAATAGGTTTTAATGACCGTACAAACCATGTGTAATCTTTTTTGAGTAGCTCAGGAAAAATTACTGCTGAAATTACTGCTGCAAGTCAAGCAGAATGCATGCAGTCACAATTCTTAAAATCAAATTTCGTGGTACGGAAGGCATTTTAAGCCTGAGGGCATAAAATGATAACCTTCTAACCTGATGCGACGTTTCAGTGACATGGGCAGACTTATATAACTTTTGGGATCAAAAGTCTACGACATTTGACTATCGATGTCTTTGGCATGCGTTGGTCACTCGCTGCCAGTGAAGAAGTGGCATCCCAAGCAGTTTGCAGCTTATCAGCCGGATGAAAAGAGTATGTTA